CCCTGGAGTTAAAACCAACCCGTGTAGGTGACTCGCCATTGAGAAACCGGCCCTTAAGTTGAGTGTTTGGTTTGTAATTTGTAAAGTTCATAATGAATAACAATAAAAATTATTCACGCACACGCATAAACATTTTCTCATTTTACCTGCAAGCAACAATAAAACGAATGACTATCGATGGTGAGTAAACTATTAAACCGGTATCGCACCGGTTCAGAAACCGGTGAATTTTGGAAAGTGCCCATCAGGGACCCGGACCAAAATGAAATATCGGTTCTATTTTCTAGTCCGGTTCCCGTCAGTGAAATATTTCGGTTCACAGAGTGATGACAAATATCGGTTTCGTTTGGTTCTATATCGGTATAGTTTTTTCAAAAATATTTAAAAGGAAAATTTACGTTCCTGTAATTTGTGTTTATTCTTTATTGGATTTCTCTGCCTATCTGCTATGATGATTTACTGGTGGCTGTAAGTGGTGTTCTATTGCCATTTGAATAGACTTTAAATAAATATTAAATCTCGAGCCCCTCGCCTAGCCAAAGTACCAGTCATGACGTAACCAGCGTGTCGTTTTTCGCTCTGACGTAGGGTGTTTGGTGTTTGCACCACAGGTTTTAATTGCACAGAAAAGTATCGAATGAATCATCAGAGAATATAAGGTGAGTTCGAAATTGTAGAAATTGTCGACACTATTGACACTGTGGCATTAGGTACACTTTTTTTGCGTTTGAAATTAATTTGGTGTCGGAATGGTGTGTAGATGGTGGGACATCGTTTATTAGAAACAAAATGATGGTGTATTCGGTGTTATACTGCCGATTACACCTTCATAACAATTGAGATCGGAATGGGATTTTAGTGCAGTACTAGTGCGGTGTCGGTGTAGTGCAATGTTATATCACCTGAGGCGTTTTTTCACGGGGCGAATGGTTCAAACTACGGTTTAAACCAACTTGTAGATGACGTCATCCCTAGTGAACGCGAGGAAATGGATGGTTTGAACACAGTCTTATGTCAACGGAGAACAAGCCAAAAGTCCGGTTCGAACTTTTTTGAACCAGGTTCAATGTGACGTCAGTGGTTCAATGCAAGAGTGTACAGGTTCAAATCTATTTGACCGGATCGAACCAGTTCCACCGCGTTCTAAAAATTAATCAAAAATTTGTTCCGAACTCATTTCTTGTCAAATGAAACCCTGAACTAGATCACAATAAAAATAAATCTCCAATTACTGTTCTAGAACACATTGAACTTATTCCTTTTTTTGTTCGTAATTCAATTAGAACCAGTTCCAAACTATTTAAAGTTCAACTAAAATCAGTTCCAGTTTCTTTGTGTTCTAAAGAACTGTTCGACCGAATTAGTTCACGATCAAAAATATCTATAATTGTCCTGGAACACATCGAATTTACTCTTTTTTACTCACAATTCATTTAGTTTGTTCGGACTCAGTTTAGAATCAGTTTTGAATTGAACTGCACTTACTCATTTGTTCATATCGAACATACATATTACACAGCTTAATTCAAAACTGATTTTGAACTAATTCATTATTGTTGCGTTGTTCCGAAGACGCAGTTCATTTAGAATCGGTTTCAGATGATTTTTGAACTGGTTCTTAGAGTTCCAAGTAGTTCGATTGTTGTTCCGAACTAAAGAAAATCATGAACTGGTTTATTATTATACGGACATGGTGCATAATTAATGTCCTGGAACCATTAAACTTAATTAGTTCATTTGTTCTAGAGCATTTCTGAACTGGCTTTTATAACTCCGAGTGGTTTGATTGTCGTTCCGAAATAGAAAAAATTATGAACTAAATTATTAAATAACGCATACGGTGCATGAGAATCCTGAATTAGTGTTCTAAATCACATTAACAATTCACTTAGAACCGGTTCCAGATCATTTTAGAATTGATTTTTAGAGTTCCGACTGCTATAATTGTTTTTCCGAATTCGAAATAAACTAAAATGAATTGTATTGGAGCAAATTGATTGTTCGTATTTCAAATAAAATCGGTTCCGAACAGATCTTGAACTGGTTCGCAATTGAGCAATTTTCAATTTGTGTTCCAGATCATTGTTCGCGGTGCAACTTGAATCAGTTCCAAATCGGTTTTATTTGTTCTTAAACCCAAAAACTTGTTCCGAACTCGTTTACCTTTATACTCTTCAATATTCGAACTTACTCTATTTATTTCAAAGTAGTAAAAAAAATACAATTTTGAACGATTCGCTTATTCAGAGTACTCCAAATATGGCAAATAGAGTAATTATGTTCATGTTTGAGTATGGAGGGAAATAAATAGAATTTTTTAATGAATAAACCTACTCTATTTACTTTAAAATAGTAGTACAAAGTACGAGTGAACAGAGTTAAATTTAGTGCACTAAAACGAGAATTTTAGACCAAATGGAGTAACTGTTAATGTTGCCTGATTAGTTTCGAACATAAAAAAACCTACACTGGATCCAGAATTGGTGTTCTAGAGGCAAAAATAAATATAATTTGAGTAAAAAAAGTCTATTGGAACGAAATTTTCTCTGAAAAGTATGCAAACCGTGCGTTCGGTATTTTGATCTGAGTTCTCCGAGCATGAATTTACCGTTCGTTTATTTAAAAAGTGTTCTCAGTGCAGTGCAGGCGATGCACTAGAATTTTGAGCCCGCTGATACGGCGTTCAACTGCTCTGTGCGTTCGATGGTCACGTGATTATGGCTCCGCTCTGCTCTTTGAGCAAAATACCGAACGCATTTTTATAATTTATAATACCCGCCCTTAGGGCGGGTATTAGAGAGTTTTCGTTGCCTTTTAAAAGCGATTCCGATAGCCGCTATTTGACAAATTTGACATTTAAGCTATCATTTATCGTTATCGTTACCGATAAGTGCCGGGAGCTTACGGACGGAAGACAAAACCATAGCGAAAACGAAAAGCATGCGTATTTCCTATGTTTTTGTTGTGGTTTGTTTTTGTTTTTAAATGTTTTTGGTTTTCGAAATAGATTCAATACTAAATTCCCTCAAAAGATTGAAAAATCGTTTCACGGATGAGGACAATATTATTTATTATTTTATGTGCAATCGAGTGTTCCATCCTGAAAATCTCGCACTATTTTTTATAATTCTGGCCACATAATTTTTTAAGTACAAGCCCTGATGAAGCCCTAAACTTTTGGGCGAAACGTTGGCAAAGACTTGACAGGCCTTTTATTTCTTGTCCTAACCGACGAATTACCCCCCTTCATTGGATATAGGACATGAACTTCTCTTTATCATTTACTATTTTATTAGAAGAAATATTGGCCAACAACCCATATGACGATGCATCTATATAGGCTTTTGTAGTAGCCAATTTTGTAAATCCCACAGGGAAAATTAATGAATTTTGGGTACTAGGAAATTAAAACAAAGTACAAAACGTATATAAACACAATGATAAACACAAACCATTAAAGAAAGGTTATGTTTGTCGAATTCGACTTAACGTTAACGTTAAGCGGATTGAACGAAAACTATTTTTACGATCTGTCAAATAGCGACTTTGTTTTCGTATTCGTTATGGTTAACCGTTCGAATTTGGCAATACAACGAAAACTCTCTATTATAAAACAGCTTTGACAGTTAACCTAAAGTTAACTTTTTGAATTAGGGAGGATTTTCATGCATCCGTTTTTCCGTCGAAATATGTCCGAAAAGTCTTTTATTTTGACATATTTATATACGATTATGTCAGAATAGAATGTTAAACGGACATATTTCGTCGGAAAAACGGATGCATGAAAATCCTCCCTTACATGTAATTCCAGAAGTTAACTCTCAAAGTAGTTTTATAATACCCGTCCTAAATCCGAATATGCCGATAATGCAGGCACCTACGACGATAAATAAAATTCTATTTTAGTTAAGTCACTTGTAATTTTATCAATCAAAGGCGTTTTTTCTCAGGACGAATGGTTCAAACTACGGCTTAAACCAATTTTTGGATGACGTCATCACTAGTTAAAGCGAGGAAATGGAAGGTTTCAACACGGTTTGATGTCAGCGGAGAACAAGCCATAAGTTTGGTTCAAAACTTTTTTGAACTAGGTTCAATGTGACGTCACTGGTTCAACGCAAGAATGTACAGGTTCGAATCGAATCGAACCGGATCGAACCAGTTCCACCGCGAGAAAACAGCTCTGATGAAGGTGTAATCGGCGGTGTAACACCGAATGCATCATTATTTTGAACCGAGTAAACGGTTTACAAGATTCTGCACATCATTTGGACACCAAATTATATCCAAACGCAAAAAAAGTGTATACCAAACACTCCTACTAATTAACGAACGCCATGCCCATAGTGTCAATAGTGTAAAAAGTGTCGACACTTTTTACCATTCCGAACTCACCCAACACTGCATTACACGGACACCACACTAGCACTGCTCTAAAATCCCATTCCGAACTCAACTATAGAATCGATAAGCCCTACCTTACTACCAAGAGTGGGTTCGAGATGACTGTTCTATAAACTCCAAGTGCCATAAACACTCCCGATTCGTTTGGGAACTGTCATTTTGAGCTAAAAGAGTAACTTCACATGCGTTCGGGAAAAACGTGCGGAAGTCAAAAGAGCTGTTAGGGTTGTGTTAAATTAAGAAACTCCAAATGCACCAAGGCCGTTCGGTTTCACTAATCTACTCCAAAAGCTTTTTGGTCACGCGATAAAAACGCCACTCCAACTCTACTCCGCTAGATCATCCCGAACCCTCAAGTATCTCACCTGTCAAATAAGTCAAAATCAAAAAGGCGGGAAAATTGCTAATAACACGAAAAACTTGAGAAAAACACGTACATTTTCAATTTCTCCATTTGCCTTGTTGTTTTCCTAATCCCTAATTAATTTGCTGACAATAATTAATTTATCAGTATTATTGGAACAACAACAATACGTCGTAGCCTATAGAATTCTTAGAAAATGTCTTGGTAAGTAAAATTCCTCAATAAATTTCAACCGGCACTCATTACAAACGTGATCTTCACGCTTTTTCAATTTGATTTTTTTCAATTCTCTGATAAATATAAATAAGACTTTCTCGGTATTACCACAATGCAGTGTATCAGTTATGAAAAGCTTAAGCAAATCTCGTGTGATTCTTCCTTTTTTGAATGCCTCATATTATCAGTAAGTTTACATTTATATGTTTAGCTTGTGGAATTTATATTATACAGGGTGATTTACGTACCTAGTCCGTGCATTAGCTTGTGTGAAAAACTTCTAATGCACAGGCTATTTAAATCACCCTGTATATTAACAATTGACCATTCTCTTTAGCAATCTGGCAGTCCTCAAAACCGAACCCCAAAATGACAACTGCAACGGAGCCGGTGAAAAACCATCTACAAATACTGAACCACATGAAGAGTACCAGTATTTGAACCACATCAAAACCATTTTAACAAAAGGCATTAAAACCAATGACCGCACTGGAGTGGGTACCTTTTCAATTTTTGGGGCCCAAATGCGGTACTCGTTACGCGACAACATTTTCCCATTGCTAACCACAAAACGAGTATTTTGGAGAGGGGTTGTTGAAGAACTATTATGGTTCATCCGAGGTAGTACTAATGCATTTGAACTAAAAGACAAAGGCATTCACATTTGGGATGCAAATAGTACTAGAGAGTTTTTGGACTCTGTAGGCCTTAAAAACAGAGAAGAAGGTGATTTAGGCCCAGTATACGGCTTCCAATGGAGACACTTTGGGGCCGAATACACCGACATGCATGCAAACTACAAAAATAAAGGCATTGATCAATTGGCTCATGTAATCAACACAATAAAAACAAGGCCTTCAGATAGAAGAATGATTATGTGCGCATGGAATCCTGTTGATATACCCGAAATGGCTTTGCCCCCTTGTCATTGTTTGGTGCAGTTTTATGTGGCAAATGGTGAATTGTCTTGTCAGTTGTATCAGAGGAGTGCTGATATGGGGCTGGGGGTGCCTTTTAATATTGCCAGCTATGCTTTGTTCACTTGTATGATTGCTCATGTGACTAATCTTAAAGTAAAGTAGCTGTCTTTTTCTGTTTTTCTATATAAGGTTGATTTTTTTGTTGTTTTTCAGCCTGGTGAATTTATCCATTCTTTGGGTGATAGTCATGTTTACTTGAACCATGTAGAAGCCCTTAATGAGCAACTAACCAGAAAACCAAAGCCCTTTCCAAAATTGCTGATCAAACACAAAGTTGAGAACATTGAGGATTTTACTGCAGATGATTTTGAATTGATTGGCTACAATCCTCATCCTAAGTTGGCCATGCAAATGGCAGTTTGAGGATTTTATGTATTATTAATTGATTTTTATAATTTATTATTATTATTTGGTTTGATTTCTTGGAATGCGGTGTATGATGTTTTGACTGTGAATATTAAGCTAAAATATCTCGGGTCAAAGTTGAGTTTACTCATATTTTATTCTTAATTTTTACTTAAAATCATATGCTGATAACAATGGAAAATATATTTTATTCAATAGGTTTTATAATTCAGAAATACAGTTGGCCAGTTGAAAGATCATTAAGGCCTCTTGTACAGTGTAAAATAGGCCACAGTCACCAGGGCCGTATCTAGACCAAAATTTTGGGGGGGGGGGGTTAGACAAAGTGACAAAAAAAAATTGTTACACTAGTAATAAAAATAAAAAAATTAAATAAGTATTTAATAAGTGTTGTTTGTTTTTAAGTCAAATTTTTTGAATTTTATTATTTTTTGGGGGGGGTTTGAACCCACAAAACCCCCCCCTAGATACGGCCCTGACAGTCACTAGCAATATCTAATGACAATGATAACTTTTTTTGAATAGAATTTTCTGCCTAGAGATGGAAAGGAATAAAAATTGTCAATTCTATAGGAAAGTAAAAGTTGTTTTGAACAATTTATAAAAATAAGTAATTTATAAACTGTCCTGACTGAATTAGAGTTAGCATCACCTGTTTAATTTATTAGGTTTGTCATAAGCAATGGTCATAGGTGATAAAGGTATAATCACCTTTCGTTAAGTTCAAAGTAAAAAATACATAATAGGTTTGTTCAGACTTATAGTAAACCTATTTTGTATTTTGTTGCCATGAAATACTAGTTAGAAAAGAGATTACAATGATTACATATTGTTCCTTTGTATGGGCGCTTTCTTTTATTCAGCAATGGATCCATCAATGACCAGTTTATCTTTGTCTAGTTTATAGAAAATCGGAATGACTGTCTCACAATGCTGACTAGACTAGACTTTATTCGCTTACAGGGGGGCTCACCTAAAAAAAAATAACTTAGCAGCAAGAAAATTGTTCATGTACCTTGAATACACTGAAACAAAATTACAAATTAAAGTTGATAAGTAACATAGGAAAGCGTATTATAAATCATCAAACTCTTCAATTATTTCATGGTGTATCTAATTACAAACCAAGTAAATGTGGAAAATGGAGGCCCGTCTTTGAGTTTGGCCACAGTTTTTTTCCGATCTATCACCTCTTCTTGTCCGAGTACATTCAAAATTTTCACGCATTTTTCTTAGGAAAATAGTAAAAATGAATAGTTCTGTCTGCATCTTTTCGGGAATGGCATTCGTATACACAGCAGTTTTTGTTGTGCTGGAACTTTGAGGCAGATGCTATCGAATTCCTGTAATAAAGCTAAGGCACCTCACAGAATCACAATAAAAGCTTTCCCTTGATTATTTCCCAATTTTCGACACAAAACACGTCGTAATTTAAATTAGGAACGAACAGAAAACATCGAAAAAGCAAGAAAATATTCCAATTCAATATGTAAACAATTAGTATATTATGCAATGATCATGTAATGATAGCCATTAATACACGAGCATGTTGTAGGATACGAAACGAGCCGCAGGCGAGTTTTGTATATAACATGCGAGTGTATTAATGGCCATTACATGAGAATTGCATACACTATTTTTTCTACTGCCATTGATAAAATTTATGATTTTTAGATATGTCAACATTATGCTTAACTTTGAATAGAGATTTTATTATTGAGTAATGCGTCCATACAGATGCGGGTTCCATTTTTTGTTGTTATTCTTCAGTGTTAGTGAAAATTCTTCATTATCACTCAATATTTCCATAATAATGCCTCATCCCAAACTTTAGGTAACTTTTAATAACAATTTGAAGTATTTTTTTTATAAAATTATTAGACACTTTAAGTTAGGCAAAATACGTTAACGCTAACGTAGGATTTGACAGGTGCGCATGCGCAGTTTCTTTTCACCAAAAATAGCGTGTTTACGTGTCACGTTATTTAGCGGGTCTTTGCGTGCACCTTATCCGTAAACGTTCGCTAAACCGAGTAAGTCCGAAATCCAGATTACCGGTGTCGACCTTTGCCGAATGTATTTTAACCATGAAAACAATTGACATGTTATTCAAAATAATCAAAATACAAAAAATAATTTCTCTTTTGTCCTTTTCACAACAAAATTTAGAGGTTACGTCATGATTGTGAGATATAACGCTAACGTTTACGTGAAAATTTAACTTAAATTGATTTGTCGCGGTCACTCGACGCTAAAGAAAATAGGGTTTACGTTTGAAAATTACGTTAACGTGTTTGGTCCAACTTAAAGTCTACTGTTTTTCGCTAAATTATCATGGAATAGTTATTTACCTAACAAATGCGGAAAGTGATACTTTACCGCACGCAGCAGCAGTCAAGCCGTTAAGGGCGGTAAAGGCACTTTCCGCATGTGTTAGGTACAAAATTTTACCTATGAGCATCTACATTTTTATAATTTTTTTCGGTGTTGGTGTTGCTGCACAGTTGATCGCTCCTCTATTTACTCATATTAATTAAATAATAAGTGAAATAAATTGTTCGTGCTTCGTGTCATTATGTGTGAAAAAATGTAAGCTTTTCAGTTATTGACATAAGACCAGTAAAACTCTTTTTTAACTTGCGTAAAACAACAAAATCATTGTGTTTAAAGACTACAAAAATATCAATCGTATAGCGGCAAAAACTACTAAATTGCATGTTTTTTATCATCCTATCAATAAAACGGATTCCTTACCTGCCGGATTGGAATTTGTTAGGTACTTTTTTTTTTTTACAAGGATTCTCTGAACTGATTAGGGGAATATGGTGCAAAGTGAAAAATAATATTTTGAAAGTCGTTGGATTGCCCATTCTTGGGATTGCCCTATTCTAATCAACTAAATAGGGTTATGTTCATTTGACACTTCGAAAGTACATGAAGTTAGCCGCTGCTAGACGGTCCAGTGCCCAGTTATCCGAGAGCACCAAACAAGCTAGTAGACCAACACGAAACCATTACACTCGCTTTCTACATTTTACCTTGATAAATTGAACTAAAAGACCACAGTAAAATGGACCACTGTGTGAGTTGCAATGTTGAGTGCATTTTCAAACGAAGGCCTCCTGAGAATGAATTATTTGGAGATAGTTGCGATGTGTGTAAGCAAATGTACTGCAAACATTGTTCTGATCTATCACCGACCGAATGCGACAGTTTAGTTCTTACTAAAAAGACCTTACTATTTGTCTGTACAGGGTGCACAGATTTACTGAGAGAATGTAATGCTGAGCTGGAATACCTGAAAAAGGCTTACAATGACTTACGCAACAAAACCATGGAAAAAGATAATACCATTGAAGACCTTCAAGGAAAATATGAGGTTTTGAACGAAGATCACAGAATACTCAAAAGTGATATAGAAGATAGAGACAACTTTATTGCTAGACTGAAAAGAGGATCAAGAAATTTTGAAGATGAGGCGTGTGATAGGGAAGAACAGTTGAAGAAAAATATAGAATCTCATGTGAAATTGATAGAGAAATTGAATCAAGAGATAAAACAACTGAAAGAAGAACAGAACGTGAAGCAAACAGAAATCAGTGACACAGAAGTTAAATACGAAATACAAAGACAAAATTCAGAAGAACTGAAAAGCAAAAACCACAAAATGGCTACGAGTATAACGAATCTGCAATCTGAAATAGCAAAACTTGTTTCTGAATCAAGAAGTGGCAAAATGGAAATCGCTGAATTGAATGAAGCACTACAAAGCTATAAAAATGAGCATAAAGCTATAAAAGAAGAAAACCTCTTGCTATTAGAAAAGATGAAAGCACAGAGTACGACCTGTAACCTTCTAGAAGATATGATGGATAGCGCAGATCAAACTGAAAAAGATCGAACTATAAATAATAAAGAAGAAATCATAGCTAAAATGAAAGAGGAGGTAAAAGAACTCAAAGAAATTAATAAAAGTATGACAGTTTCCATAAGTGTGTTGGAAGAGGAGAACAAAAAGCTAGAGAAAGAGTTGAAGGAATTACAAATGGAGTTTGACCGGATTTTAACAGAACATATTTCATCAGAAAAATCACTGGTTGTAAATGATACAGAATCGAAAACTAAAAAAACTACAAAAGTAATCACTAAAAATACGCACAACAAACTAAACGTTAACTCTACCAAAAAACAAGCAAACATCACCAATATTCATGACGCAAACATCATTACTAATATGAATGATGCTTATCCCAGTGATTCTATCGAAGTTGGGTCAACTATAAACTGTAACTTAATCACTAGTTCTCAAAAAAAACATAAGATATTGTTTTTAACAGACCAGTATGGAAAATATTTGTTACCCTATCTTGAAAGTCACCTTTCTGATAAATTTGACGTACAGATTGTGACCAAAACCTAATGCTTTATTCATTGATGTGATAGGGGGGCATGAAGAATCAATTTCCAAAATGTCGAGCTCGGACTATGTAGTAATGGCGGGGCTAAATAACAATAACGTGAAACTGAGTGATATCACCCTAATTGCCAATACTTGCTTCTACACCAACCTAATGCAAAATGTATTGATGGTTTGCCATATTGTCATGTCGACTATGTAAATGGTAAGATAGTAAATGCCGTTTCAAACCTAAGAAAATTTGTTAGCAATATCAATTGTCTTGACCTATCCAACAGATTTCGATACTCTGACTACTCAAAGAATGGCATTTATCTCAATAATGAAGGTCTTACTAAATTGGCGTCGCTCGTGAAAAGTATAATCTGTGCCTTTGGTATGTTACCTTCGCAATCCTTCTTAAAGCCAATCAGTTTGGGCAATTATGATAACTATTCTAAAGATAACACCAGTCAGGTTGATGTCGGGTGCACAAATAAACTAATCCAACAAAATTTTTCCCAAGTTCTGGGACCTGCAAACCATCCGTAGTTAATGACAGTACTGATGCAGTTTCACTATTTTATCAAAACTGTCGTGGAGTGAAAACCAAACTTGATATCTTAAGGACTAATCTTTTGGATAGCTGTTATGACGTAGTTGCATTGACGGAAACTTGGCTAAACGATAAAATATTTACATCAGAATTTTGTCCAAAAAACTTGATATCATTTAGAAAAGACAGAAATAGTGTGATAACTTTGAAAAAAACAGGGTGGAGGTGTATTTTTGGCTGTAAAAGATAGGTTTAAGGTAGCAGAATTTAATATTTTTGATGAAGAGCAAGAGGCGATTTGTATACAACTTAGTTTAGCCAATAATAGGTATTTATATTTAGTTTTAGTTTATATCGTACCTGACAGTCCACTAGACGTGTATGAATTTTTTTTTGAAAGATTGGAATTGGGTTTATTGGGCAGGGCAGATACGGATTTTATTATACTGGGTGATTTCAACGTACCAGGGTTTAACAATGACACCTCGACCAACAATATTGTAAATAATCTAAAGGCATTTCAAGCTTTCAACAATCTTTCTCAATTCAACAGCATACAAAACAACAATGGTGTACTACTGGATCTCGTTTTTGGATCATTTGATTGCTTGGTGGTAGAACAGGCTGAAGAACCGCTGGTAGCAATTGATAGTCACCATCCGTGTTTGGATATTGGACTGTCAATTAAGACTTCTCAAAGCTGTAGACTGGTCCCTACTACCAAATTCAATTTCAAGAAAGCCAATTATCTTCTTATGTATGAGCTGTTTCAGGAACAAGACTGGGATGATTTATGCGATTTCACAAATGCTAATCTGGCAATTGATGCTTTTTATAAAATAATACACAACATATTTGAGAAATGCGTACCAAAGTCTACACAAAAAAGTAAGAAGTATCCAACTTGGTTCAACAATGAAATAATAAAACTTTTAAAGCAAAAACACACATGCTTTTTGAAATCTCGTAAATACAAGTCTCAGTTTTGGAAAACCAGATATAACGGTTTGAGAACCTTAATCAGGAATAAAATCAAAACAGCCCATGCTGAATACTTGGTGGATGTTGAATCAAGCTTGAAATCTAACCCAAAACTTTTCTGGTCATATCTTAAAAGCTTTAAGGAAAGTCCAGAGATTTCGGATGAAATGGCGTTTGAGAATGAAATATTCTCGGGAACATTCAACATTGTTAACGGCTTTGCAAAATATTTCAAATCTGTGTTTATCAGTAATGATAATATTGCCGATCACACCAATGCAAATAATGCTAAAACATACTTTTGTGATGCAGAAATATCTGTTTTAGACATAAAAAAGGCTTTCAAGAAACTTAAACTAAACAAGTCTATTGGCCATGATGGTATTCCTGCATTTATACTGAAAGGGTGCAGTGAAATTTTACTTGTTCCTTTAAAAATCTTGTTTAATCTTATGCTTAAAACCGCCACATTCCCAGAAAAATGGAAACTTAGTAAAGTGATACCTATACACAAAAGTGGTCCTAAACAAGATATTAAAAACTATAGACCCATAACAATAGTGTGTGCAATCTCAAAAATATTTGAAATTGTTATATTTGAATTGCTTTTCAATGAAGTATCACTTAAAATATCTCCCAATCAACATGGTTTCCTACCAAAAAGGTCCACATTTACAAATCTAACAATCTTTACGCAATATATACATGAAGCATTGAATAGGAAAACACAGGTACATGTTATCTACACTGACTTAGAAAAAGCATTTGATAAAGTAAGTCACAATACTATTTTGGATGGTCTGGAGGCAATGGATGTTCCTCCATACCTGAATAAT